CCCCAAAACCCCAAAACCCCAAAACCCCAATCTGTTCCAATCTCATTGAACTCAAATTGACACTTTCTTATTCAGTTAATGGAGATTCTCCTTTTTCAATTACTTTGATATTTGACAATTTGTGGGTACTTAACATTTCTTCTACTTTTGAGACTGAGAGCTTGCAAGAGCGAGTGTTCAATGTCTGTAAAGAGTCTTTAACAGAAGATCTACTGATAGCTTCGATAATATTCTCAAGATCTTTAGGGTTAGATCCCCAATTTACTCCATGGTTACTTCCACTACAATTAAAACTCAAGTATGAAATCTTTGTTTGTTTTGTTCCAAAGTCCATCTTTTCTTGTGTATTAATCTTGCATACAACAATACATAACTTCTCAGTATTGGTTGAGCTTCTAAAAATAGTCTCTAGCTCAGATGGCTGGAATTCAAAATAATAAATCCAAATTTCTTTAATAACTTTATGTAAACTGCTCTCAAGTCCTTTTATTATCTTAGATCCATCTATTAGTGTTGAGTCAGTATGATTAAGAGCTAATAGAGAGAGTTTATCAGGAACTGAGTGAGTCAGGAACTGATCTATTTTATCCAAATGCTCATTTTTGATATTTTGGAAGAACACTCTTTTGATAGGAGGTAGTTTTATTTTATTTCGAGCGTAAGCTTCCATCAGTTGTTTTTGATTTTCTTTGTCTAAATAGAGTTCAAGTTTAAAATTTGAGTCGTAAGTTTTTGTTTCTCCAATGGTATCTTTGTGCATTGCTTCTCACACTGAATTTTTAACATACTTCAAAATACCTTCTCTCTGATCTGATTCTTTCTGTTTCTCATCAAGTGTGTTTTTAAGGTCTTCATGCTGAGATTGGAGCTGGTTATGCTGAAGAGTAAGTGCAGAGAGTTCTCTCTCGAAGTCATCTTTTTGAATTTGTTCTCTTCCAATCAGGTCTTCTTGTGCTTTTATTTTATTGGTGAGCTCGATAACTATCTTTTCTATATCTTCTCTTTGCTTTTCATATCCTCTTGGAGATCTTGGATTTGTTTCTGGTATTTGGCTTCAGTTTTCTCTTCGATCTCTTTTGCCTTTTCTTGTATTTCTTTCTTTGTTTTGGCCTCGATGTGGTCTTTGAACTCTGTGGTTACTTCTCTGACAGTCTCCTCAAATTCTGGCGATTTTCTAATTGATTCTTTCTGGACCGCGCCAATCTTGCTGTAAGTTAGTCCTACCAGTTCGCTGTCGAACAACAGTTTAAGGATTGGGTTAGAGCCTGGCTCGTAGTTTCCGACTCTTCCAAAGTTTCCTCCAAATATGTCAGATTTGATTTTTCTTGCTTCTTCAATGAGCAAGTGGAATTTCAGGAACTGGTCCTTCTTCATTGCAATTCTGGCTTCTTGTTCGAAAGCTTCAAACAAGCCAGAGATATGCTTCATGCAGTTTGCAAGTCCGCTGATATTCTCCATGAGTTTGTATGCATTGGCCTTCTTAGTGAGTGATGCCACAAAGTGATGAAGAAGTCCTACAGCGTTCCAGAGTTCGTCTTTGGAACGAATAGCTTGCACTGTGCAGTTGTAATGGAGAGAATCACAGCAGTCACTACACAGTCTTAGCTTGTGATCGAATCAGTAGTATTTTCGATCATTTTGACATTCATCATAGGCTCACTTGAGCCTTTTGAGGGGATCTTGGGTTGGCATTATTAAAAATGATTATAGAAAATTCATTAATTCAGTATTTTATTCTCAATACGGGGTTTTGGGGTTTTGGGGTTTTGGGG